TAGTATCTACATGTACTATGTGTTTATTTCATAGATGTAATTGATGAGAATGGCCAATAAAGAAACTGAAGGAAATATATCTATAGCACTCAAAACTGGAATATTGTAATTAAGAATTCATTCTTACGTCTACACCTAAATTAGATGATATTGATAAATTGTTATAATGGATCAGTTGAAACTGAAAAAAGGTATCTTTAAGCAATATGTCCTGCAAATTCGATGTTGGAATTTTTGTTGCAAAATAGTAAATAACTATTTCAATGACAGAAAAAAGAATGTTTATTAATTTCTTTTGTACATATTTGCGATGTAAGAACTATTCATAGGCTTTGATTGAATAAAAAAAAACATTATTGTCGTCCTGTACAATAATGATTTCTTATATAATGCTGTATATTTCATAGTATACACAGGAAAAATGTCCACATGTGTTAAACATATGCTTCATTTCACATGTTTTATATAGGTTATACATGTGTGTAAATAAACACATGTAGAATATGTGTTTCATTTATATGTAAAACATATGTAATATACACATGTAATATAACTGTGAGATAATATATATGTTAAACACATGTTTTTCACCACACAAGTATAAAACGTATTATATATATGTAATATATGTGTGCGAAAATACAGATGAATTATACATGTTTAATTTATATAAAATATATGTGTACAGTACCGACCAGACCCAACCTGACACAAAGCAGTCCCAGAGCAGTCCCGGGGACTGCTTTCTGGGACTGCTAAAGCAGTCCCACAGCGGTCTCAGAGCAGTCCCACAGCGGTCCCAGGGCAGTCCCACAGCGGTCCCAGCAGTCCCAGCGGTCCCAGCGGTCCCAGAGAGCAGTCCCAGCAGTCCCAGAAAGCAGTCCCAGTGGGCGGGGTTTATTAATATAATGGGCGGAGCTAACTCAGAAATGAGATTTCCAGTAAACAATGGAACTATAAAAGGCAGTAGAAATTGATTCTGGGTAGTATGCCAGGAATCCGTACATATACACGAAGGTCATGTATGAACAGAACAATGAAATAATTATTAATCATATTTATTGGAGGAAGAAGGCTTCACACTTACATGTACATATATGAATTACACTGAACATGAATATTTAATCACAATTCTTGGGTATATTAATTATTCTCTTGTGATTGATACTGGTTCCCATGTTTATTTTTTATACAGAAAATTAAACGTGAATTAAATATTTTCCACCAGAAGAAGCTTTAAATCTTAATAGATTTTATCATAATATGGCCAATTTAGACTATCGGGATACTATAAAGTTAGAGTTTCTTAAGCATTGGGGCTTGTAAACATATTCTTTGTTAATTTTGCCAAGTATTATTTTTCAGTCATTATTTTTACTGACATGTCAATTTAATTATTGTTAAAATCTAGTTCTATAAAACTCAGTTTTCAGTGTTTTATTTGTAATTGTTAGAGTGTACATCTGTAAATCACCAGAATGGATGCTTAAGATAATATTCAAAATTAATTAATCCCGAAAGAAATTTAAACACATTTCATTTATCTTTTTTTTCGCATTTAAGAAATTGAAATTAGGGTCATTGTTTACCAGCATGTTCAATGATGTGTAACACTGATACAAATACCCAAATAACATGTATTTTTCCTCACATGTCAATTTAATTATCGTTAAAATCTAGTTCTATAAAACTCAGTTTTCAGTGTTTTATTTGTAAATGTTAGAGTGTACATCTGTAAATCACCAGAATGGAAGCTTCAGATAATATTCAAAATTAATTAATCCCGAAAGAAATTTAGACACATTTCATTTATCATTTTTTTTCGCATTTAAGAAATTGAAATTAGGGCCATTGTTTACCAGCATGTTCAATGATGTGTAACACTGATACATATACAAATACCCAAATAACATGTATCGATTTTTCTGCCCAAAGGCGATTGAAACAGTGGGTGTTGATACCATCTTATAAACATTAATCGGCCAGGTAAACACTGTCTAGCAAAACAAAAAAGAAATAAATCAATTCCCGGTATTTTCATTTTTTAAAAAAATAAATAAAGATAAATGTACTCTCAAAAACTTATTTATTAATTTAAAGCTACCAGTAATTCATTAATTCCCCCAATGATTATTTACATAGTTTATGTTATGGGAGAATTGTAGCATAATTTTATTTCATGGTCATGTAATAAATTGTCGGGTTTTATTTGAGGGTTACACAGAATACTCTTTTCTTAGCGTGGTCCTTATAAAATGTGTAGCATTTTTAATAAAAGACATCTTATATCTAACCATGCTAACTGTAATGATTATTTTTAGTTTTATCTCATATGTGTGTAGTTTTATCTCATATGTGTGTACAAAAGAATTTGTAAATGTTAGTAATTACTCATGTAAAGTTTTACTTTGTTTATCCCCCCCCCTTTCCCTTCTAAATAAAACTTTCACAATTTTTTTTCTGTAATAATGCATTTATCTATTTATCAGACAAAACTGATAAAGAATAAATTCATTTTCTTTTCATTTTGAATCTTTTGGGCTTGGCTTACTTCTTGAATAAAATTAAAATAATTCCTTATTTGTCTCCGGGCCGGTTTTGTTTGTAGTAGTTGGGCATTTAGCCACTACTAATGTAAAATTTTTGTACTTCGCGTTGTGTTTTATTTTATATAGATGTTCCCTTCAATAATGTTTCAACCTTTTGATTAACCTTTTATATTTCCTTTCCAGGTTAGTTTGAGTCCGCCTGTAGTGAGGCTTGTAATTAAATAATAAATAGATAATAAAGTTTTAAATCTTTAATAAAGTTTAACAATTGTATATGAAAAATTCAAATAAATTCAAACAAATAAATATTCCCGGGGAATGAATGTGGCTTTCGAGGAAAATAACTAAATGAAAAAAATAAGGACTAAGTTAGAAAAATAAAGAAATAATAATCAAAATTTAGTTTCGAAAATAGGGTGAGGCAACTCCTGATATTTACCTTGATGCAAGGCTTGGCTCAGTAGAAGCCCAGAGCACGGCTGTGCTCGGGTTTAAATACTGTTCTTAACAATAGAATAAAAGTAAAAGTAAGCCGTAATGTGATTTGATTATAAATTTAGAAGTAACCAATGAAAAGTCTCGAAATAAAATACGTTTGGAAATAAAAGATAACTCTCTTCCGGTTTCATGAATAAACAAATCGAATACGAAGATAAAGAAATTACGTAAAGAAGTAAGTTAACTTTAAGTTAAATAAATAATGTAATGGAAATAATTTATAAAGGATCGATACTACCACATGTTTTTTATCGGATGAAAATGTACGCCATTTTTGACGTCACTGCTGAAGCAGACGTGCTGGGTGTATTGGAATGGTAAGTGATCTCCAACCAATTTTTTAAAGACTTTTAATTCATATTGTTTAAATAGCATTTCATTATAGTTACAGGTGCGTATGAACTTTCTATGTACATGTAATACTCTTATCATTGTGACTTGTCATGCATTTCGTAAACCTAACGAAAGTGATCTGTAAGTAATTTTGGAGAAAAATGTCTCTTAATGGATGTAAGCGGTTACATGTTAGGCTAAAGGCATTACAATTTTTTATAATTTGTATACAGGTAAGTAATTTTGGATAAATTTGTTTCTGAATGAACGTAAACATTAAATGTTAGGCTATTTTTAAAGGTATTAGGCCCTATTGGTTTTCCTTTTGTTACGTACTGATATGAAAGTGAAAGTAGAAACCTTGAAACCATTGTGACTGTCAGTTCGTTTTTATGTATGTTTGAGATGGCTGTCAAGTCGATTCTTTCATCAACTTAATAACAAGTGTTTGTTTTTATGGCCTATAAATGCATGCAGTAACTTGAGTTCAGTGTCACAGTGCTGCGTCTAAAAAGCCCAAAGCTGACAAGACTGGCGATTGATCCTAAAGATTATTTGACAGATGATTGCATCATCGCAATATTAAAGGTAAAAATAAATACTTGCAATAAAAAATCAAAGTAAACATTTGTAATGACTCCTTCATGACAAAATATTTCTTGATAATTTCTTTTTGTTCCTTTATTGAATTATAATTCTACATTATATTGTTTGCATAACTTTATAAAAAATAAGTCCAACTCAATGCTACAATAATTTTATTCTATATTATGAAACAGTTTTAATCCAGTGCACTTTTAAAATATGGAAAGTATGAATAGAATTTGCTTGCTTTAAAAGCTATGAAACAGGTACATGTACTGTAAATGACTTCAGAAGGGGGGGGGGGGGGTAATTGAATTTTTGAATTTCAGTTAAACATTAATAATAACAGTGACATCCAACTTTCAAGGTAGAAGTACATCTGCATATTTGTTGATTGTTGAAAGTACATCAGCTAGCTAATCCATTGGATATTTAAATCTATTATGTAACTGACATTTATTATTTTTTTTCCAACATTAGAGAACATAGACTACTAAGAACCTACAAACATGTACTCTCTCTTTTTTTGTAGTTGTAGTTTTGTAGTCTAATTAAGTTTTAGTTATGCTTAGAAGATATCTACTGCATGAATATTTGTTTTACAGGTTCAATATACAGTCAGCGTCTCATAAGAATAAATCCCAAGATCCAAGACTTGCTTAAAAGCTTAATTAAGGTAACTACACACTGTTAAATAAACTTTGTTATATTCTTCCCAACAATGTTTTGAATATTGTGGAATCACACTGTCTGTTTTTCTGCCTGTCTACTTCTCTGTAGTATTTTTGGTTCAAAAATAAAATATTTGTGTCAGAATCTTCTTAATTTTTGGCAATATGAATCATAATACTGTTTGAACATTCCAAATTTAATTGTCAAAATAAAAAAAATGCTTTTTATGACTTTATTATGAAACATATCTTCCAACAGTGTAATTGTCTTGCAAATTACATCATATGATTCCACAAAACAACTAGTATAACATATATAACATTGGTTTTATCTCGTATCATATCTGTGTTGGTGAATTGGGCATACATTTGTTTACTGAACTTTAATATTACTTGTAGAATTGATTTTGTAATTTAAGAATTGTTTTATTTTTACTTTTGAAATTTTTGTAGAGACCATTCTGTGCCACAAAGAAATTGTTCAGGAAAGGGAGAAATGGTGGATTTGCATTTTGGGTACAGTTCAAACAGAGTTCAAAAAGGTCAAACTCATGGAAGATCAGAGGGAAGACAACTGAAGAAAACTGAAAGATACAGAAGGAAAAAGAAGAAGAAAATATATTAAATAATTATGAAATTGGGAGGATGTACACAATCTTGTCTGCATTTGACCTGCAAAGATTTAATTCCCATTCTTATTTGTATGCTGTAATATCAAATAACTTGATTTTTCATAAATTTACAATAGAGAATACATGACAAATGTTATATGTGATATTTCAATTTTGCTTTGGACACTTTCATGTCAAATCATATTAATAAACAAGTACATGGACTAATTATGTTATTCATTTGTACATGTATGCCTGTTTAACTATTTAATCATTTTGTGGAAATCTTATAATTTGTACTCAACTTAGAATATGTAAAATACATGTATTGACAAATGCTACTGACTTGTTTGTATACTTCCCTGTTTCGAAAGTACACTGAAAAATAAGTTATTTCTCTTGATGAAAATAATTTATCAAAAAAGTTGTGTAAGCATTTTAAGATATTTATTCTCAAATATTTAACCCATGAAGATAGATCATTGGAATATGGATTTTCATCTAAAGCAGAAATATCTGATTTTTAAATGTGTACAAGAATGTGTTTTTCCTTGTGATAAGTATTGAAATAGAACACATGTAACAATTTCATATGATTTACAAATGCTGCCCTTTTCATATGATTCACATATGTGGACAGCGCAAGTGAGTTAAGGCTAAATATGGATATTTCTATGCAAATGAGCTTATAAAAATTCATAAATTGTATATTTTGTGTACAGAGAAAGTTCAAATTTATTTTCTTATACATACTTAGTACCCACAATTTATTAATGCAAGTGCACATTATGACGTCATATTATGACGTCATTGTTCTCTACCATTCAAGGTAATGAATCGCATCAACAAAATCACGTCGGCGCAAGGGCATATCATATCTAATTTAAAATAAACAATGTATAATATTAAAGAGAATGTTCTTAAAATTAATAAAATTGCTGCACAAATCCTATGTACTTTCTCAATCGATAAAAAGTTTAGGAAACTTACACTGGACTGTGAATTTTTACCCTGTTTAAACTTAAAACTGCACGAATAGTAACTAAACAATTGCAGTGCCGACATTTGTGCAGCAATATCTTAAATCCTTTGAATATCCTGCGTCTTTTTATACCTTGTTTCTGTAAAACAAAGTAAGGTATGCCCTTGCGCCGAAGCGATTTTGTTGATGTTTCTTATAAACTTGTGTAGTAGAGGTCAATGACATCATAATGTGTACTAGCTATCGCATGTCGTGGGTACCAAGAATGTATTAGAAAACAAGTCTTAACATTTTCTGTGCGGTAGGTAGAGCAGTTATGGAATTTAATTAGATATTTTGCATATATACCTCCATATGTAGCCTTAACTCACTTGCGAGGCATGAAAAAGTATAAAAATGATAATTAGTACAACAGTAATGTTATACATGTATAATTCACATATAAAGTATAACATATATAAAACACATGTTTAACACATGTTTCATATGTATAAATATACAATGTGTTTATTTTTACAAATGTTTAACACATGTGAAACATATGTTTAACATGTGTAAAAATAAACACCCTATACATGTGTGCTCTTTTTATGTGTTTTACATGTTTAACATATGTGTAACACATGTGGACATTTTTCCTGTGTCGAAGTTTTTCTTTTGAAACAATTTAATACTTCATTTTAGTCGAATTTATGAAAAGGGTTTAAATTACATAACGTCACAGTACCCATTATTGCCGAAAAATACCACATTTTTCTTTGTCATGTCCAAAATATAAGTTTATTTAAAATAATTTCTATATGTTTTTCTGCAATGTTCATTCAATTAACATGCGATATATTTTTCATTTGAGCCAAGTCCATCTCCACTTACTTTCGGGCTAAACATAAACCCCGTCCATGACCTTGGGTAAACAGGAAGTAGAGTACCCATTATTGCTGCTTATATCTTTTCCTCATTATTCACAAACTAATCGCTAAATAAACCAACTATTTTTAAATCCATGACAAAAAAGACAGAAAAATGTCTCCAATGTAAAATTATTTAAATTAGAAATGCAATTTTAATGTTTTATTTTAATTTTTGGTGACCTATTTTTTTTTCGATGTTGCTACGACCTCGTGCGCAAAATATGTGCTTTGCAGCTTTATAGGAACTGACAATGTCCTCAGCGCTATTTTTTCCAAGTTAACGCAGTATTTTGACAGATAATAAGAAGAGAAGTATATGACTCATCGGCTACAGAGCTCTTGCAAACAATTTTTAACCAGTTTTTGCGATTATTTTGCTTGTGAACCAGCCTTCAAATATTCCTTCCAACATGGTTGGCGGATCTCCGTGGTTAAGCCGAGAGGCTTGAGCCCCATGGCGTACTTCCACAACGATGGCAGTGAATGGATGTCATTGGTCAGTGTCATCTTGATATTTTTTAATAGGAAGAAGTATTGGTATTATGTTTTTCTTGCACATTAAAATATATATATATATATAGAAAAAATCCCAGCCCACCCCCACGGACCTGAACCTGATATAATGCACCCGAACTACAAGTGTGGAGGTTTTGTATTGTGGTGTCACTTCTTCAGCGAGGTTGTGTTACTTGGATTTTTTTAATGATAATAACTAATATGAAATGTTGTTGAATTAGGTATAGTTTTTGATATTTTTATGAAACAAATCACTTAGACCTCTCCCCCATCCCAACCATTATGCAACAAACTGCATGCAGTGCAGGAAATCTTTAAGAAACTATCAATCTTGAAGAAAATAAACTTTACAACTGAGAGTCACACTTATGTGGAATCAGTGAAGGTATAATTATTTACTTTATATGTGCTCAAGAATTTATCATGATTCTTTATATTTGTTGAAGGTCCTTTTCATGTGAATTCAGAAGTTTTCGGAATAAGACAAGTGTCATAAGACTAGTTGGTGGTTTCCAGAATATACGCACAAGATGGCAGAGTATGTTGTGACTCTCAAGAGGAGCTTCTTTAAGGAAGATGAGAGGTGTGCAAAGGTATAACGGTATCATTTAAACAATAATTATGACATCCTGTGTTTTCGATCAATATCACTTGCCATGAGTCCTTAAAACCACATATATATTATTGATCTTTATGAAGTCCATAACAGAATAATATTAACCGGGAAAGGTCCTATGGATCTGTCAAGTAGTAGATTTTTATTTTCTGTTACAATTGTGTTTAAAGATATTCAAAGTTCTAAACAACTAATCTTCAGTATGTACTGTTAACGAATGTTTGAAGTAGTTTTAGCAGTGTTTGAAACTCGCTGTAAAATTAGCTATACATGCAGGGCTGACTGCTAGTGAAAGTTGTCAGCCCTGCCAAAAATGCACTAGCCCGAAAAAAATTGTCTTTTATAATATGGTATTAGCAATAATGTGAATGGGGCGAGCTCACCATACATTCGATCTCAGACATGTAGACTGATGAATTAGGGTGAGTTCACCATGCATCGGACACATACCTTGCTTCGGACAACTTTAGGCAATAAACTCTCTTTCAACTTAAGAGTTCTCTGTATTTATATGTTTCTGTCATGAAGACGAAGATTTAAATTTGATACCGATTGTGTTTATCATGTTGTGATAGAAATACCCCGTAAATGGCCTTGAAGTTACGCTATATTTTTACATCATCAAAGGGGAATAACCCGAAATTTATGATTTTGCAATTTTTAGAGTTATCGTTCTTTTAATTTCGACGACTCGGACTTTGGTGAATTTTGTCAGGGATTGGTAATTTTACATAAATTATGATTAAATTTCACTTCAATGTTTGTTTAATTCTTATTAGAGCTGGTTTTTACTAGTATGCTATTTTCACCGTACATCGGACACAAATTAACCATGCATCGGACACTTTTCGATGCAAAGGTAAGCACTACCATTTTCATACAGAACCCAGCTGACAGCTGTTTTTTGCGGAAAAAGAAAATAAAAACTCTATATTTTCAGTCAAAATACAAGTTATCCATATATGACGTCTGGAATTTTACTCAATTTATTTCTACAAACCAGAATATGATAAACCATGAGAAAAAGTGTGGAGTGTTCCGATATGCAATCAGAAAAATGCAAAGTTTCTTCTGAATGGAACCCTCATCATATTTGACAGATTTCATAGCGCTCTTGAAGGTCTGCACAAATCGTTCGGCAAGGCCGTTTGTCCTTGGGTGATAAGGGGATGAGGTTGAATGACGTATACCATTTGATTTCATGAATCGCTGAAACTCTTCTGCAATGAACTGTGGTCCATTATCACTGATTAAATATTCAGGTAAACCACTTCTAGCAAATAGAGTTCTGAGTACTTCAATGGTATGTGTCGATGTAGTCTTGTTCATCTTGAACACTTCAGGCCACTTGGAATGGGCATCTACAACAATCAGAAACATTGTTCCCAAGAATGGGCCTGCAAAGTCCACATGAATTCTTTGCCAGGGTTTATCGGGGAATTCCCAGGGATGGATGGGTGCTTCCGGTGCTACATTGCGATGGTCCATAAATCCTTTACATTTCTTTGCGCACTCCTCAATACTGGCATCAATACCGGGCCACCAGACATGGTTCCTAGCAATTGCCTTCATTTTCACCACCCCCAAGTGTCCTTCATGAATCATGTCAAGAATTCCTTTCTGAAGTGGTTCTGGGATGATGACTCGGAATCCCTAGAGTAAACAACTCCTGTCTGCGTGAGAAATATGGTTGCAAGTCACCATCCGTTGCATCATTCCAACCACGCATGGTCGCATCGTATACCCGAGATAACACTGGATTTCGAGCAGTTTTACGCTTTATTTCACTAGCTGAAACAGGCAATGCCTCTAACTGTGTCATGTGAAATACATGTGCTGCATCTAACATCTCTGACTCCAACCCTTCTTCTCGGCCATCTGTAGCTAATGGTAGGCGAGACAATCCATCCGCATTTCCGTGTTGTTTTGTGTTCCGATACTCAATAGAGTAATCCAATCCTGAAAAGAACAGTGCATACCGTTGCAGTCTTGCGGCAGTAGTAAGTGGTATACCTTTCTGCGGATGAAATATCGATACCAAGGGTTTATGGTCAGTAATGAGCGAGAAATGGCGTCCATATAAGTACATCTGGAAATGTTTGATTCCCCACACTATTCCAAGGGCTTCCTTGTCTATTTGTGAATAGTTCCGTTCGGCACTATTTAGAGTTCTAGACGCGACTGCTATTGGACGTTCTTCTCCTGAGGGATACGTATGTGAAAGCACCGCTCCAAGTCCAAATGGTGATGCATCACAAGAGAGCCTTATCGGTAAGTGAGGATTATAGTGTGCAAGAACTTGATCAGACTTCATCAATTCTTTCACTTTTCCGAACGCTGTTTGGCACTCATTCGTCCAGTTCCACTTCCTGTCCTTCTCTACAAGCTTGTGTAGAGGTCTCAAAACAGTAGACAAGTTAGGCATGAACTTTCCATAATAATTCACAAGCCCAAGGAATGCACGTAACTCTGTCACATTCTCTGGAATTTTAGCTTCCATCACTGCTTTCACCTTCTCTTCTGTTTTATGTAAGCCATCTTTGTCGATTTGTGACCACAAAATTCTACACTGTCTTTAAATATGTCACATTTTTTGATATTTGCTCTCAGGTTGAAGTTCTGCAGTCTGGACAAAACTTTTTCTAAATTGCCCAGATGCTCCTCAGTCGTCGAACTAGTTATTATCATGTCGTCAATCATGCAATGTGTTCCATTGATCCCCTGCAGTACCTGATCCATGGCCCTCTGCCATACTGCTGGTGCAGATGTCACTCCATACATGAGCCTGTTAAAACGGAACAATCCTCTGTGAGTATTGATGGTGAGGTATTTCTGGTGATCCTCTTCAATTTCCATTTGCAGGTATGCATTTTTAAGATCCAGTTTGAAGTGTTTTCCTCCTGCAAGGTTTGAGAATATTTCATCTACCCGAGGAAGCGGGTACTGGTCTACATTGATACACTGATTCAACGTTACTTTAAAGTCACCACATATCCGAACAGTGTTGTCCTTCTTTGGCACCACGACTATGGGAGTAGCCCACTCGCTATGCTCCACTGGTTCCAGGATTCCTAAGCTGAGAAGTCTATCTAGCTCATTATCCACTGCTGGTTTAAGTGAATGTGGCACAGGTCGAGCCTTACAAAACTTTGGCTTTGCATCAGGTTTTAGGGAGAATTTGGCCTTTATATTCTTCAAAGTACCAAGATCTTCTTTGAAAACTGACTGATATTTCTCAAGAATGTTCTGAATCCCTTGTTGAGGTGATACTGCCTGAGAGTCTACATAATTCATGGAAAGTCTATCAGTTCATTGCTTCCGCACAAGGCATTCATCCACTGTCGTTCGAGTAACGGTGGTCCACCTCAATGGACGATGTACAAAGGTAACACTTCTTCTGTCCCTTTCAACACTACAGGTACTTGAACAAAACCAAGTGGAGTTATAACTTCTGAATATGTCTTTAATGTAATGTCACTCTTTTCCCACTTTAGGCCTTTGAAATTCTTCACGAACTCTGCCTTACTGATAATAGAGAGAGCGGATCCAGTATCGAGCTCCATCTTTAAATCCAATCCATTGACTTTTGGCTGTATCCAAATAATTTCTTTGGAATTTCCACTCATTTGATGAATTTCCAAACTTGCTATGTACTCCTCATCATCACTCTTTTCCATAAGAAAGTGTGCCTTCTGCGACTTTTGTCGTGACTGGCTATTCTTGCTGCGACAAACGCGTTCAATGTGTCCCTTTTTCCCACATTTCCTACAGTTTGCGTTTTTGAAATGACAGTCTTGCTGTTGATGGCCCTCTTTCCCACAACGATAACACTTTGTCTCTGTTTTTGGTGGTTTCTTAGCTGGGCGTTTCTGACTTACTTGAAACTTGTTTACAGATGCTAATCCACGATGCTTATTCTGGAGTTCAGCAGCATCCTTAGTGGCTGTTTCCATGGCAACACATATTTCCAGTGCTTTGTTCAATGTCAGTTGGGCTATCGAGAGTAACTTCTTCTGTGTGTTCTCACAGCGCAGTCCACAAACCAAACGGTCTCTCAATGTGTCGTCCAGAGCACCTCCAAATGCACAGTGTTCTGATAATTTACGTAACTGGGCAATATAGTCTCTCACACTCTCATCAGGACTCTGGTCTCTCTTGTGAAAACGGAATCGCTCTGCTAAAACAATCGGTTTGGGACTCAAGTGGTTCTTCAGGATGTCGACAATTTCCTGGTAAGTTTTATCGGCTGGTTTGGCTGGCGCAGTCAAATCTCTCAGTAAACTGTACGTCGGACCGCCGATTACACTCAATAACACCGGTACTTGTTTGCCCGCATCAACATCATTTGCTAGGAAATATTGTTCTAGTCTTTCTACATAAGATTCCCACTTTTCTCTAGAGTCATCGAATGTATCTATTTTCCCAATCAGTGAAGTTGCCATATTGTTGAGAAAATTCGGGTCACCTCGTGCAAAGTGAAATTCAAAATTCAGACTTGCGCACTATGCAACAATAATGAACACTTACACACAATGAATTTCCCGAAAATTTCTGCTAACTTTATCTCGTCGCCATGTGTTGTATATTCATACAAGGGTGTCTAATTACTAGATAAATTACTTTGCTGCAAGGACCAAACCATTACCGGAAGTAACATTTTATTGATGAACACCGATAACATACAAAACCAATACGTACACATAAATTATATCCGGAAAGATATACTACACAAACCTCTGCCTATGGCTGCTAAACTAAAGCTTGACAGTTTTATGTGAAGAATTAAAAAAATATATAGGAGTATTTAAAGAAATGTTTTAACTGTAAATGGAAGGAACCTTTCTTTATTTTCATCTAGATTAAAAAATGTTTCCATAAATAAAGTTCAATTTATAATATACATTGAGTAGTCAAAAAGTTGCAAATGTAAATTGTACATCTAAAAGTTTAAGGCTATGTAATTGAAATCATTTGCTTCTAAAATTGTGAAAAGTATGTGTCCATTGTATATAAAATTAAGGCAGTCATTTTCAATAGCTATTTAAGGAATAACTGTCAAGTTACTAGAGTATGCCAGGGCATCAACGATAGCTGGCAATGTGGGATAATATGCATAACAAGTGAAGCTAACTAACTAGACAGTGATTCCTTATATTAGGCCTTTCAATTATTTTCATAATTAAAGAGATATGAGTTGGATTTGAATATTTTCTGTTGCACACATGTATGTTGATGTAGCTTGTAAATGAAAAACTTCTAGCATGTGTTTGTTTCCTCGTCTTTTCTGTTACTACTAAAAAGAAAAAAATGTTTGTGAACTATAATTACATACCACTTAAATTAAGCTCAGTAAGTAGGATTTTTATATCTATCATAAGCATTAAAATTTTTAAATACATGTATTTCTAATTCTTCTGCATTCTACACAGCGATTTATCAGTTGAACATGCATTCCACCTTCTTGAATATTAAATAAAAAAAAAACATTAATTCCACTCAGGAAAATTATATTGCAATGCAAATCTAATTTTTTGGTTTGGTATTTTTTTTCTATGTCTTCCTGTTTTTTTTTTTAAATCTAAATTAATATATCACGTACACAATATATTTGGCAATGCATTTTTTTTAATTTATTTTAGTAAAAAATTTATTTCCCCCTTCAGAAAGAGACTGTTAGATAAAAATTGCATTGTTTACATTTGATTTCCAGGTACTAGTATTAAAAATTTTACAAACTGTAAACAATATTTTGACTTCGCTTACTTTGAAGGTACTCTCTAAACCATTGGGACGGGTGTTATCTTGTTACCTTCTTTTTTACAAGTCGCAAGATAAACAAATAAAACAGCTTCAAACCATTAGTTTTTTAAAGTGTTTGACTAGAGGCTTTGGACCCGTCAGCCCCAGGGTTACATTTCCAATTTTTGCAGCTATAAAATGAGTTGGAGTTGTAAAAAGTTGTAAAAAGGGTCTTTGAAGGAAAGTAGCTTGCATCCCCATCCTAAATAGAATCTCATTTCCTATAATATTTTTGTGGTCGCTTGAAAAAAAAATTATTAAGTGAATATATTGTTTCTCCAAGGATGAATCCAGGATATGTCTTTGTACTCTCATGTCATCCAGAACTTGTGTATTTTTTTTTCTCATATTCCCATTTATTAGGGATGTGCGATTTTATCCATATACCGGTATATCGCGATTTTTTGTTGGGTGATACGTATCATGATATGGACACCTAAATACTGGTCTTTAGGTAAATATTATAAAGTCCAGAAATTATTCATTTATTTGTTCAATCTTTCAAATTACAATTACAGAAAGTATAAAATATGTTGTGATAGGTGAAAAGAACGGCATCTTACCATCCAAACATAATTGATTTTATATATATAAAAATTTCAACAAAGTAAAATTTTGTTTTTCTAGCATATTTTTTAGAAAAATTATGACTTTTCATACAAAAATCATTGTAAAAACTGCTTTTAAAAATAGCATGATATTATCGTGATATTGTGGGAAAAAATTGTGATATATCGCGATACGAAATTTTTGGCGATACCCATCCCTACCATTTATAAATATTTTTTATTTAATCAAAAATAATAAATAAGTCACTCCACCTTGTTATGTAATTTAAAAAGTTGTCCATATAATTTTAAAGCGATATGAGCAAAAATAAATCGATAAAAATAACCCATTGCAGATTTATTTAGAACAGGCGCGTGTGGTGGATTTTGATCCGCTCCCGATTAAAACAAAAATGGCGTCATACAGCAGACGCTTCGTACTCGTCGTAATTTTCGTGAAATACTGCAAGCAGAAATATTATCTCAGATAATTTAGTTTAGAATCATTGTATGCAGGAAAATATTCATTTGATTTTTACCAAAACATGACTGATTCTGTCAGTAAAGTTCTATGGCATGTCCTGTCGCACGACTGATATTTTGTGCGTTTTAAAAGACTTGAAATATCACCGGTAAAAACGTAAAATCGGAAATAATGGGTACTCGGCAATAATGGGTACTCGCACGTTACAAATTTATCTTAATAACACATTTTAACAGGAAAATAAAATTTTAAAGTATGCAGCCTATATTGCTTTAATGTATACCTTAAAAATATAAATCTTTACTCACCACGTCACGCGTCCCTCTTCATAAACCTTCTTTAAAGTGTCATAATTCATAAATCTCTTATACATGTACCCCTCTTCTAACTGATAAGAATATGTACACTGTATTTTTTTTTAATATAATTTACCTGAAGGTATTTGAGGGGAAATCTTTTAAAACCAGGCACTAAAATAAAAGAAAATAGGCTCTAATATATCTAGAACCACCGTAATAACCCCCCCCCCCCCCTCAGTCCCAGGTTAATTCTTTTGGAAGACCCGTTTCTTTATATCTTTTTAGCCTCTTTTTTAAAGATATTTATTTGATTTAAAATAGTTGTTTATTGAATGACCCCCGATTCCTGATATCTGTAATGTAAATAATCAATTCGGCAACAGTTTTACAGGAGACTTTTAATGACCAGTTTTCTTAGAAGTGTGTACTACAAAAACTTTGACATTGGACATATGTTTTGAAAATAAGCACTCCATGACATCCATATTTTAAAAGTATATTCCTTAGGACATACAAGTCTTTCCTTTGAATACCTTTAATTGTTACGTCTCGACAAACTTTCTGTAAACTTTTATCAAAAACTACCAAACAAAGGTATCGGAGTTTCACAAAGACATACTTTTTTTTGGGGGGGGGGAGGGGGCACAATATTAGCATTTAAAAAATCTTTATTTTGGCACTGATAAGCCCAGGGTTGTGATAATCTAGACCCCTAATGAGGGATAAACATATTATCTAGACTTGGTTTTATTTTGCGTTTTATGTATTTGATTTATATCGTACAGATTCAACTTTAACTGCCACTTACAAGTGTAAAAAGTCTCGGTGAATCACGCACGACATTAATTATACCGATCTTTACAGACCTGAAGCTCTCCGGATATATTAAGTTTCTATCGCAGTCTCCTGTGCTCTTGTTTGTCAATCACTGAATGAAGACAAGATAGTGAAAGTTAGAAGTAGAATATTCTCTCTGTATTCTCTGAGACATATGGAGGGAGAGCTTAATACGGGGATAAGAGGTCGACATTTTGACTGACACAACCATACACACAGTAAAGTCTTGCCTTATTCTATCTGTTAGACACTGTAAAAGACAATTACGAATATTTTAAGTTTCAATAGCGGTCTCTTTGTTTGTCAATCACTGAATGAAGACGAAAT